TATACATATATAATATAGCATATTAGTCTCGTAGTACTATAGTATAGTACAGAAGAAAGTTTTAGTTCTCGTCTACTCCTTCGTTTCTACTCTACTATATTGGTCGTGTCTATATATATATATATATATATATATATATGCATATTGCTGTATCAAGATAGCAGAAGAATTTTTGCTGTCATCCTTTGTTCACTCACTATATTGGATTGTGTATATATATGCATGTATTTTGCAGTTGAAGACAAAACATAATTTGGAAGAACTTTTAGAGCAGAATAGGCCATTTCTGTTTATATTTGACTGTAATTACTATTATTTTTGTGAGACCACTCAAGCTAGAGTGAAAACCTGCAGTCATTAGCTTGGCCTGCATTGGGATATAAAACACAATGTGCTGTGTGTTTTAATACAAGTAAACATTATATACAGTTTGGTTCTAAACTGAAGTATTCATAAGCTTGAACTTTCACTGTGAGAGAAAGACACAGAGTTGCTATAAAATCCTGCCACATCAGGTAATAAACTGGTGAATTCATTGTTTTTGTTAGTGATGGTGAATGAATATTTTTCAGTTTTGGTAACTGAGATTTTTGTAGATAATGTGACTCAGTGTGTATAAGGTGAATTTGATATGATCACTTCTTTGTTTGAAATGAAATGAAACATAATATATAAGTAATGTTCACATGTTGGAAATGATGATCGTCGGAGAGTTTGTGAGGCACCCAAACACCTTCTTTATAGAGTTTCCCATATTTTTTTAGATATTTATGTATTGTTTCATGAGAGACATGCAATTTGAGGGCCATTTCACGAGTGTGTTGCCTTTGAGTTAGACTCAATAAGCGTCTTCAGAGCATTAATATTAATTCCAACATGTCGGCCCCTGCCATCACAGTTTTTAAGGCAATAAGTCAACTGAATGAAATTTGCTGAACCATCGTTGACACTTATGAACGTTCAAAACATTTCCATAAACTTCTCTGATATTCTTAGTGGCTACAAAGGCGTTGTTTCCTTCTTGTATTCCAACAGCATTACATGCCGATTGTGTGTCTCGTCATGTGCCATCACTATAAGGGATTAGAGTATACTAAACTTTACACATCATATAGGCTACACTAATGTGGTGTTTAGGCAGTTTCTTTAGCTATTATACGTGATGTACATTTTTGTGGGGTGGTTAATGAAAGTGTTCCAAAATGCAACATTAATTTCTTGACAACCTAATAATTAGTTGGCTTACTTTAAGTTGCCATCTTATGGTGTCTTGTAGTGTTGTACTTCGAGGCTGGGATCTGTCTCTGACAACCACTTAATTGTGGAAGAACATGCATATGTGTGAGGTTGCTGAATGGAAACTGTTGCCATGCGTTGACATTGTCAGGAGCCTGAATATTGTAGGCTTATGTGCATTGTTCCATTTGAAACTGTTTGGATTGCACATACAGTAGTGCTTGGAATAAACCTGTTCATGTGTTATAATGGCAAGTGCATTCATTGTAAATGTTGTTAAACACAGCACAGGCACTACATCTGTAGCCATACAACATGTTTGGTCGTGATATTTAACCTTATATTGCTACCTGAAAATCTTACACCTCACAAGTTGAATTGACTTGGGGTTTTCAATTCTCAGTTGTTAATGAAGCTGTCAATCTTCAGAATTGCCCGACAGTCTACTGAATTCACAAAGAATTGTGGTAATCCAACTAATAGATCTCAGTTTTATGCATAAAAAATGCACATGTGGAATGTGCATCATATGTGCAAAGTAACTTCATGAGCAACATGTGTGCCTTACCAGTTGATGGTGATCTAATGTACCCATGAAACTTGCACAGATAATAGCTAATCTAGGGTTCAATTTCCAGACAAGGATCTTGAATGTGATCAGGTCAAAGTGAGCATGTCACAACTTTTTAGAAAGTTACATTCAACAGTTAGTTAAACTTCTTTTTTATCACTGTATATGAATAAACTTGGATTCAAAATGTGATTATTAAATAAAATTTTAATATTATATAAGTTTTAAATTCTTAATTTTTAGAAGAACATATCTAAAAAAATCTTCCATCTCCCCTAGTATCAGAATTGTCATATTTGTTCTCTAGGTCTTCCTTCTTCTTTAATTTATTTACCATACCTCAGAGAGTACAGAATTCAACATAAATTTCTCTTTATGACATAAGTAAAGCCTAATTTTTATACCTTCAATCTTATTTGTTTATGGAGTCATAAACTAGAAAATCAGACCCACTGGCCACTCCCACATGTCACATCCTCTATTTTACAAATTGCCATTAGTTCTCTCTGACATTTTATACTATATTATTTATAACTAATAGAAAGCCAAAGTTTTAATCTATCAAGTGAATTATTATGTTATGCTTTTCTCCGTACAGAGCATTGCCTATTTTGTCTTCAGTTCAAATTCTTAGTTTTGATTTCAGTATTTTTACCCAATCATTTTTAATACCTTTAGATAATATTACAAAATTCAGAACAACGTAAGTGTTTTCTCTTCTACACTTTCCAATAGCTATGAAAAAAAAGTTGTTTTTTTCCATAGTTTGTATTTATAATGTTTTTTATTATATGTAGTTTTATGTTTCTTTTTATTCCACCTTGGTCTAGTTTAAATCATATATGTATTCTGTAAAATTATTGTAAAATCTTTAGACAATTATTGTGATCGTAAAGTTGAAATTGGTCATTTTCAGTTAACCAAACTTCATTAAACCTGTTACAAGATAATTTTGTCACAAAATTAATAAATTTAACATCTTTTACCTCATTTCTATACTTCTGTATTTCATACCACAAAGAACAAAAATCCTCCATTATTTTTAGAATACAGCTTGTGTGTGTTAAATTGTGTAAAAAGTTAGATGATGAATTTTACATCCTTTTTACACAATGACGTTGAAAAAAAGACCATACATTTTTAAAAATTATTATTTGTTTCTTTAGCATTTAAATTTAATAGTGTGATGTTATGGAATTCGATTGATCTCAAAAGTTTTAATTGCTCTGGTTGTCTTAACAGATTTCTTGATGTACCATCATAACATTTTTATGTTTTTCAGTGTTATCACTGGACTGGAGATAATATGTATTTTATTAAGGGTAATAAGGACAGTCTTGCAATTGGAGCAGGAGAGTAAGTATTTTTTATGTAATTTTAAAGCTTAGTCATGACAAAAGCAATTTTAGTGGTAGTTATACTGTATGCACTCATCAGTTAATTTCTCTTTTCAAGATGACTGTTCCTTGTTATCTTGTATATTTGGTCAAAAGCTTAAAATTTTCATGCATAAAAATGTTTAAATAAATGCAAAATGCAAGTTATTTCCTTTTTATGTTACTTTTCGTATTTATATTTCTTCATGCTTTACATTTTCTAAAAAATGTAACATGTTAAAAATATGAAATGAGCATGATTGTTTTACAATTTCTCATTTGTTAATTTCAGTATTTGTTTTGTTTTTAACCAGAATTTTTTTATTTCTGAATTTATTTATGATTGTCATATTTTAAACATTTGTGTGTCATAGAAAGTTCTGTTTTCAAAGGTAAAAGACTAAATAGGGATAAGTACAGTTTGTCAAGTGTATATTACCATTTAGCTTTACTATGAATTGAAAGTTAATTTTGTCTGCTGTATAATAAACTAATAATGAGAATACAACATTTGTTTTTTAGTACTTTACTGGAATTAATGTCAACTAAAATTGGTTTTAAATGACAAATGTTAGTTTAAATTAAGTAAAATTGAAACAGTTTTTACAACAATAATTACAAATGACATTTCAGGTAGATATGTGAAAGTGCTATAAGGTGTGAAAAGGAAAGTGTGTTATATTTATTTTTCTTTATTAGTTTTGAGCAAAGTTAAATTTTTTATTGTTTTTAACGTGTACCAAGACTAGAATTAAACTGAGATCAAAATTTAGAATATCACTCAGAAGTTTTGGAAATTTGTGAACCATCATCAGAGAGTTTTTAAAAAGAAAAACTTGTATGCAAATAAAAGCAGAAGTTTCAAGATTAACAAAATATTTTTCTTCCAATAACAATTTGTTCTGATGAGGTGAGACATTGTAGTTAGAAGGCAAATTCATTGTAGAATAAATTGATTGAGCATGCTTATATGTTGTTATTGGAGTGACAGCTTGTGGATTTGTGTCTGTGTAAGTATATCTAATCCAGCCTGAAAATGAAGATTTGCTTTCTACATATGTCAATTAGGTATTAAAGAAGGATACAAATCTGATAGTTCACAGTGTGCATAAACGTAGGAATTATTTCTGTATATCAGAAACTATGAAAAATCTTTAACTTCTGTTTAACAAATCTCTCTTAAACATCTTCAGTTGTGCTCACTTATAATTATTTGTTCTGTATACAAATTTTGTTATCACTCTTAAAATGGTCTTAACTAGAAAACTTGTTTATAACTGTAAAATATTTAGTAATTAGAAAGTGAGTTATCATGTAATGTGTTATTCAAACCCTTTTGTTTAACAATATTAATGACATATCTTTAATATACAGACACAGATGACACAAAAGCATCATAATAGGTTTAATTTTTTGAAGTTTTCTCTAGCCTGTAAATTTGCTGTAAAGAAAATATAATGAATTGAGTCCAGTAAAAGTTACAGAAAATATTTAATTATTCTAGTTATTTATTGTAGTTTCACCACATTTGTCTTGTTTGTTGACCATTATTAGATATTTGTATACAATTAATGGCAAACTGTTAGATCTAAAGCCAATTATCTTCTTTTTTATATTTAACAATAAGAATAGTATGACTAGGGGACACAAATATAAATTTTGGCAAGGTAGGAGTCATTTTCAGTTAAGACAGTTTTATTTTTTTAGCAGGGTGGTTGGCCTTTGGAATGGGTTGCCTTCAGATGTTGTAGAGGCAGTAAATTTAAGTGAATTTAAGAAAAAGCTTGATATGCGTTGGGTTTAAAATTTTATTATTATTATTTTTTAATCATTATAATTTAGTTTTGAGGATGGAACAGCCGAGATGGACCAATAGGTCCCATGTTGTCCCAGAATATTATGTTATGTTAATTTACAAAAAAGTGTTCATCCTATCCTCTTATAAAAGTTTTATTTTCTTTATAATGTATTTTAGAATCAGTGGGTTTTCCAGTTGTTCTCTAATGGGTCAGCTGTAAGTCTATAGATTTACAATGCAAAAACTTGGGTTTCAATTCTCCATGGTAGACAGAGTGCAGATAGCCAGTTATATAGCTTTGCACTAAGAAAACGACAGCTTTCCAATTTTTCTTTTTAATATTGTAATTTACAGTCCATAATAAGTGAAAAAAATAATGCATTAAGATTGTAAAGCAAAATATTTTATTGCCATTTGTTGCTATTTTTGTGTACACAAGTCAGAAATACAATATAGGCATCAGAAGCTTGTTTTTTTTTTTTTATTAATTTATTGCTCTGTTTCTATAATTTTCTTCTTTTTTTTTGGAACTGGGTAAATTTATTAGCCTCACCACCCGCCCATCCTCCAATATTCATAGAACACCTAATTTACTTGCATATGCAAAATAACCTGATCATTTAATGTGTCAGATAACTACTTGAGTGATATGCAAAATAACCTGATCTTGTGACGAGTCAGATGATTACTTGAATAAAAAAAGATGCAGAGATTTAGTTATATTATGATCAGTCTGAATGACAAAAGGTACAACCAAGGATCTCTTACCTTTTTAAAGGGACATGATAGTGGGTGGTGTCCATGTTTGACTTACTGTTGGAAGGTATGTGTAATTAGAAAGCTGCTTATTTAACACAAAAACATTGAAGTGCCATTTTCAGTGATGCTTATATTACAATCTTGGAGAATGAGTGATCAAAAGTGTTTTGATATGGTCTTGTGAGTGATGCTTTACTCACTTTGGTACTGACAATAAGGTAAAAGTGTTCTCACAATGCAAGGTGCTAAGAGGACTTAATGTGAGAAATATTTCAATAGCGAAGATCAGGTATTTTGATTCTGTTAGAAAGGCAAACAAAATCAAGAATGAGCTTGGTAAATAGCTGTTCCAAGGTAATGATGCAAGTATCTATAACACTGTTACTGGCCAACACTGATTTAAAGAGAATAACCTCATTCAGATTCCTTGTCCAGTACAATCACCCAATTGTGCATCTTTAGAAAGTTGAATGTAATATTTACATGATAATCCTGTCTTGATGTCTGTAAAACAAGTCCAAACCATGATTCATGAATGAATTACATTGAAACAAGACAACTTCTAGTATTTTCTGGAGGCTTGGGGTCTTTGACATGCTGAGCCCAAGTTATTATCATGGTGAAAGGTTGCCCAACCCAATGCTATTGTGTGCATGTGTGTGTGTGTCAGGGGGTCATAATAATGTGGCCAGTCAAGGTATATGCAATAAGTTGCTTTCTATGGTAAAAAGGGTTAATATATTCTTTAAATATCAATGTATTTTAAGATAGGTTTTATTTTTCAACATCTTATTTGTATGTTTAACACTATATTATTTCATCCATGTTAGTTGTTTAGTGTTTGACACTATTTAGGCAAGGTTATTTAGCCACCAATATGGAAATTGGTTAATGTTTTTACCTTGCGTTAAAAATATTTTCATTTTTGTTTGGTGTTATAAGAGGAGAAGGCTTTTAGTTGGAATTTGTTACAGATCACCAGATAAAAAATCTGAAATTAATGAGGAACTTTAGAGTCAGATAAAGAATTCAACTGTTAATAAGATTATAATTATGGTAGATTTTAATTTTAGGCATATAAATTGGAAAATTTTAGAATCAAATCACAAAGGATGCAAGTTTTTAGAACCTGTTCACGATGGTTTTCTTCAACAATTTATTACGGAACCTACTGGAAGCAATGTTATTTTACAATTATTGTTTAGTTCTAATAAAGAAATGGTTGATGATGTAGGGATTGGGAAACATCTGGGTGCTAGTGATCATTGCTCAATTAGATTTGATGTTTCGCTGCATATGTAGATAAGGAATAATGAGATTTTGGTTCCAAGTTTCAAAGGAAGTTTTGAAGAGGTGAGACAAAAATTATATGCCATGAATTGGGCAAGTTAATTAATTCATTCTGTAAATAAATTCTTAAATATTCGAGATAAGCATGTTTCTTAGACATAAAAGGGTGGCTGTAAGTAAAAGAAACCAGGTTGACTCACGAGGGTATAAAGGACAAAATTAAAGAAAAGCATTATCATGAACCACAATAGTGGTTCATAATAGGGAACACGATAATTTGCATTTGAGCAAAAAGCACCTTAAACAGTAAAGATTCACTTCAAACAACTTAAAACCTTCACTGTTGACTACTAAGGCTGTATATATGTATAAAAATTCACAAGAAAAGCACGCATGTTAGACTTACAAGGAAAATAAAATCCACTTTAAATGGCCCATTTGTAATTATTATTATTATTCTCTTGCCAACCTACAACAAAAATGGATTGGTATATTGCACCCAAATCTTTGTAGAATACTAAATATAGTACTACAAAGGTCGCTTTGTTTCTTCTATATTTTAGATAAGCTAAAAACATCAGCATTCTAGTGTATACAATGTTATCATTACTCCTTGAAGTTAGCTTTCTTACAAATATGTGGTGTTCCTTTAAAAAGCTTAATTACAGGGTGAAACAGGAATTACCAGCCAATAATGGATAAACATTAGATGACTGTTATTTGTAGATACTCAGTGCTTTGTACACTATGCAATCGGTGTCTTTAGAGAGCCAACCTCTATATTATGTATGATGCGAAGGCATTAAAAAAAAATCAATACACATAATATTAAATTTCATTACACACATTCATAGAATAGTTACTTTAAAAGACACAAAGGTTTATTTAAATCGATGTTTTATAAATACATATTATATTTGAAAAAGCTGCTTTTCTACTGGTAAAATTTTAGGTTCGCATTGAGGGGGTTGTGTCTTTCCCTTGGCATACATTTGCACATTGGTTGCATTATATATAGAGAATTTAGTTACACAGAAACTATAAAAGCTCACTGTATTCTCCAACAAATCTCCATAACAATCTCCAGCTGCAGCTTATCATTTTATATATCGAACTAATGCGACCAAATAGTCAATAGCTACAATAAAACATCATAGGTACTACATATGTTTATTATCATTACAGTGTATATAGTTAGCTACCATATCAAGATAATTCTTTGCCCATAGTTGAGCATAAAAAAAGCCAGCAAACAAGATAAGTAAAAAATTTTAAAAACTGCAAATAGGGATCATAATAAAGGTAACAAAGCAAAGCTGGAAATACTATAAACATTATTTACTCAAACTACAAATCCCTATTTTGACTCCACCAAATGTAATTCTAGGTAACTGCATGGAGCCAAAATAGGGGTTTGTACCTTGAGTAAATAATGTCTACAGTATCTCCAGCCTTGTTTCCTTACTTTTTATAATCTCTATTTGCAGGTTTCTAAATTCCCAATTTTTTATTTATCTTGTAAATATAAGAAGTTTAAATTGACTGCAATGATGGAAGACTTGGAGGATTATAGAAGATCAAGAGAGTTGATCAAATGGTAAATTTCAAAATTAAAAAGTATATGTAAAAATTAATAGTAAAGATTATTTCAAATACATTAAAGGTAAGCAAAATTTTAGAATGGGAGTAGGGTTTTTGAGGGATGATAAAGAAAGTATATGATCATGGGACAGCTAGGTTATTAAATTCTACTTCTGATTTTACTATTGAAGATTCAAGCAGTATTCCTCATTCTGAACAGTTGCTAGATGGAAAAAATGATCGCATTAATTCTAAGCTTGTTAAAAAAATTGGGAAATTTAAAAAAATTATAAAGCTCCTGGGCTAGAATATTTACTTGAGGATTTTAAAAGAGGTTAAGGATTGGTTACCTAAACCACTTGTTACTACTTTTTTCAAAATTATTTAATAGTGGACAGGTGCCAGAAGATTAGAAAATGGTTAATTGTCAGGTTTTGTAGGATGGGCTGGATTCATTACAGTAGGTGTCTGTGACTTATTGGTGTTAAATTTCAACAAACAAACAGCATACAGTCCACTTGTTTAAATATATATATACAAATGTTTGTTACACAGACTGGTTCAGTTACTTTAGAACACAGTTGACAAGACAACTTATTCTTCTCTGCTTTGTTATTACAATACAATCGATGACAAGTTCACTTGTGCTACACTGTTAGTTACCACAGTTGTATCTAGAGCTTTAAATAATTGTCTCATTTTGTCAAAAGTCCATGCAGTTTTTGTTCAATTACTTTAGAATACAATTGACAAGAAAAATTCTTCTTCTCTACTCTGTTGTTAGAGTCTGCAGTAATTTCACTGCCACTATACACTCTTTGTGGCTAAGCTCACAATCACAATATCTAGGTCTATCTATCTCTTATTAACTTTGTCTTACTTTCTATATAACTAACTAGAACTATATTTTGTATGCATATTTATATCCTGAATGAGGCCTATAACTTTTTTTATTATGATGATGTAATAATACACGATCAAAACAAGGAGATAAACTTAGTAGGTTCTAGTAACATGTTACTCATCTTTTCAAACATGATGATAAAAATCTCCCAGTAATTATAGGCCAATTAGTCTTAGATCAGTGATGGAAAATGTTTTCAAAAGTCTGATAAAAGATGCTCTGCAAAGTCATTTAACAAAGTTTAAAATTTTATTGGATAGTCAACATGGTTTCATATGGGGTAAATCTTGCATGTTAATCTTTTGACATTCCTTGAAGAGGTTGCTTCTTACGTAGATAAGGGTACAGGTGTGGATTTGGTGTATCTTAATTTTCAGAAAGCATCTGACAAGGTGCCACATTAAAGGCTTGTCAAGAAAGTTATCTCTCTAGGTATGAGAGATAGGTTAGCTCATTAGATGAAAAACTGGCTGAATGGAAGAAAGCAGAGGGTTATTAAAAATAGAGATCAGTCTAACTAAATTAATGTCATGAGTGGGGTATGTCAGAGCTCAGAACATTTGCTCATTTTGGTTTACTTCAATGACATAGAAGGAATGTCCAATACATTATTTAAATCTGCTGATAACATTTAAGTTCTAGGTGTTGCTGGCTGTGAAGAAGATGCTATTGCTTTACAAAAACACTTGGATTATTTGGTAAATTATGCAAATAAATGGCAGATGACTTTTAATTATAATAGATGCAAAGTTATGCATGTGGGGTATCACAATTTGAATTATAAGTATACTTGTGGTTGGAATAACCTTAACACGATTGTAGAAGAAAAAGATCTTGGTGTTATGGTTCATCAGTCTCTTAAGCCAATGAAGTAAAAAGAGGTTATAATGTCATTGGTTAGGCCACATTTGGAGTACTGTGTACAATCTTGGGCTTCTTACCTTAGAAAGGAGATTGAAATGTTAGAAAAGGTTCACAGGAGGGCTACTAAGATGATACCTGGGATGTAAAGATTGTCATACAAGGATAAGTTAAGATCTCTGAACTTGTTTTCTCTTGAAAATAGAAGAGCTGGAGGAGATTTCATTGAGATGATTAGGATTGTTAATAGGATTGATAGTGTTGATACACCATCTTTTTTTTTATTTAATGGTGTGAATGGTAAGACTAGAAGACATAAATATGCATTTTGGCAGAATAAAAGTCATCTTCATCTATGAAAGTCTTATTTTTCTAACAGTGTGACTGACCTTTAGAATAGGTTAACTTCAGATGTGGTAGATGCACTTAATTTAAGGTAAAGCTTGATAAATATTTGAATGATAAGAGCTGACTTTGAGTATTTTAATATTTAGTTTAGTTTAGTGGATAGACTAGCCTAGATGGGCCAATCCCTTGTTGTCCTTTAATATTATGTTATTTTTACAGTGGCCAGTTTGGTCTGTGGTTGGATGGAGACCTGTTTCATGGACGGAGTCACAAGTGTAAAACCTATGAAAATGAAACTCTTTCTACTCATGAAGACTTTGTAGTAAAAGCAATTGAAGCATGGGGTTTTGAATAATCATTTGTTTTTTGTACATAAGTATATGCATAGCTGTAAATGTAATCAGTGTGTAATTGTTAATGAAAATTAATATTCCACATGGTTTCATTCTGTAGCTCATAAACTGGTTAGCAAATAATTTTGTGAGTAGGATGTTACAAAAGAGCCTGTGATGCTTATACATCTGTGTCTTCAATATTTAGTGCTAGTAATTTGCTAGTACTCAGAACTAAGTCAAATGTACTTTATTGCTATTGTACAAGGACTCTTTAGGCTGATGTTATTTAAAATAACTTTATTAGTTTACTTAACTGATTGTGGTAGGGTACACAAAGAAATAACGTATAATAGATATGAAAGTAATGAGTGGCCTTAGACTACTCAACCTGTTTCAGATCTAATGCTTCTAAGCGTAGCTTCTTATGTTAATAATGTATGTAATAGTAGTTAGTTAATTGAAAAATAAAATAGCTTGTACAAAACATATTTCTAAGTTTGTTTTGCTATGTTTTATGAGAAAATAAAATATAAGTAAATGTCACTGGAAATCACAATACACTGCATTTCTAGTTTGTTTGAATATGAGTTAAGAATTAAAACTACATATGAATGTGAATCTGTGTGTGTGATTTTATGTAGTCATGGGATTATAAGAATGTATGTTTATAGAATAATAAATCTAGATTTTAATTTTGGATTGAATTTTGCTACACCAATTTGTGACATTGAAGAGCATAAAAACATGAACATTTATTAGCTTACTAATAAAGTTAAAGCTTCTCTCTTGTATCTACCTCTCCATAATGAAAATTAATTTGCAATTAAAACATGAAAGTAATTAATAAATTAATCCATAAAGTTTTAATTTCACTAGTGACTAAAACTAAGCAAACCAGGAAAACTTTAGTTTCTCTAATTTTTAAATTCATAAAATTTGACCATTATTTTAATAAATGCAAAAATATTTTCATTTTTTAATGCATAACACATTTAATTTGCCAAATTAAAAATGAACTGTCCATAATCCATATATGGTACACAGAAAAATTGATAAACAGTTTTTAACACTGTTAGGTGGAGCTTTTTATTATGGGTCATAATCCCGTTTTAACATATTTTTGTGGACTAGCAGCAGTTGCTAATTGATAAATGTATTTTTTATTTAGTAATGTAGTGATTATTAGGTATTTGAAGCAGAATGAAGTTCTCAAATGTTTAAAGTAACATACATTTGACATTATGTAAGACAGTATTTGTTGGTTAATCCCTGGAACCATTCTGTTTCCTGTGTTCTGTCCTCTGTCATTTTTACTTGTTGGGTTTGTGAACTCATTAGGCTGGTGTATTTGGACTTATCCATGGAATGTCGCCATCTCCACAAGGTTTCTTCTCATCAGATTCGGCACATCACTATGTCCTTGGCTGCACATCTGCGACATCCTATTGAATAGATTCAGGCCTACTCTCAGTACCTTTGTCGCTCATTATCTGCATGACTTGGCTGTATCTTCCTCTAGTGGATATGGTCTTCTTCCCATGGTGATCCTACAAACATCAGTTTGCCTTTGACTAGGGTAAGTCTTATCACTTATCTTGTTTCCACAAGACCAATGATGGCATACCCAGTAGTATGTATGTATGCTAGATATCAATAAACTTCACTCAATGGTGGACCATCACTCATGATTTCATGAGTAAAGGAGAAGGGCATTTCGGCTGAAATAATTAAGTTTAAATCATAATAACTGCCAGAAATAAATAAAAGTACACATTATGCCATATTTGCCACCCAAAGAAAAAAGGCCATGTCAAAGAAATCTTTGGCAGAAAGTTATATATTTTCCCTCTGAGAGAATTGCGGTATACATAGTCCTGTGTATTTTGTATATATTTATATACAAAACAATGGGCCAAAGCTTATCCATCAGTCAGTACATTAACATTGTCCATTGCCAGTATGTTGACTGAATAATGGATAACATGATTCAGAGCACTTGGAGAGATCTACAGAGATGAAGTTTCCAAATTTAATAGTCAGTTGTTTTCACAGTTTTGTCATATGTTGGGTTTGGTGAAAACATAAACTTCACTACCTCATCCTAATTGTGGTGACTTGACTGACCAATAGTGCAAACTATCAAGTACATGCTTGCTCAGTTTGGGAATTCTGACCAGACAGACTTGGATGAGCACTTATCATGTCAGTATGGCATACCAGACAACTGTGCAAGAATTTTCTTATGTTATACAATAGATACAACTCCCAGTTGATCTAACAAATGACCCTGTACAGGAATATGTGGAGTGGCTGCATTGTGTAGCAGATAATGCATGCATGTGATTTTGCAATTCAGCAAATGAATAAAGAACCTTTGTGTCAATCATGTAATAACTTTTACAAGATGGATCTCCATCTTCATTTGACAAAGTGACACATGCAACTTTTACACAGATTACTTCCACAAAACATCTGCTCAGCTGATGCATTACCTCAAGCAGTTGATGAATGAAATGGTTATTCATGCTATTCCATACAAAAAACATACCAGTGTAACTGGATGAAAAGGGCACTGAGAAACTGTGGTCATTGTACAATAGATGGATTATGGAAAACAGAAGGGAGGAGAGGTGTGCTCTAAAAACTATAAGCTTTATGGTGGAGCCCTTTTGATGTGGAAATTATGCTGCAGGGTCATTGCCAGTATGCACGGTCATGAGAGCATGACCCAGCTGTGATGACATGGACTATAATGATGTGGTTTCTTGCTGAGAAAGAGACAGACATAGTTTCAAAGATAATGTACTTCATGCCAAGTAAGATCAGTTGTTTTTGTTAGTGTTGTTGAAGGAATAATTCTCAGTAATGAGATTTATAAATTTTGCAACTTGGTTGTCATAAAGTTCTATCTTGATTATTTGTTCAGTTATGATGAAAAGGAACATCAATTTCCTGTGGTTTTTAGCAGTTTTGTTTTAGAGATATGTTAAGTATATAGAATTTAATATATGCAAATATGTTCTTATGTTAACTATGTTTATTTGTAGTGTTGTGACAGTTTTGTGTTTGCAAAATGAATATGACTAGATTTATTTGTGAAATCAGGCATGATTTTACTTCTTTATTTGAATCTTGTTTAAGTTGCCTCAGAAAGCAAGTTAGTTATGAGTTGGTACCATAGAGTTGGTAGACTGTATGTAGGGATGGCTAAAGTATTCAATAGGCATAATACAAATATGTACACTAAAAATCAACAATGATAATTTTACTTTAAAAGATGAATGCCACTCACTTTCATTTGTTTATCTACCCAACAAGGCAAGAAACCATTGCTTAGATACCAAGCCAGAAATCCCCCAACCCACCAAATTCCTCATAATTCTTTCTGTTTCATCAAGATAACTCTACAGTTACTTTATCACTAATGTCAGTTCACACAGAAATCCACTCTTTTTGTTTCTGGGCAGTGTCCAATGTCATCACTTAGTCATAATAACTAGTAGTCATTGTTAAAAAATCATAATTCTAGTGTAAACAATGTTATCATTACCACTTCAAGTTAGCTTTCTCACAGAAATATGGTGTTCCTTTATAAAGCGTAAGTACAGGGTGAAACAAGAATTACCAGCCAATAATAGATTAACATTAGATAACTCTAACATGTAGAATACTTAATGTTTTGTACATTATACAATTAAGTGTCTTTAGGGAGCCAACCCCATATATTATGTATGAAGTGAAAGAGTAAAAACATCAATACATATAATATTGAATTTTATTACACACATTCATAAAATACACTAACTTTCAGTCAGGAAAAAAAACGTCACAAAAGTAATAAAAGAACATTTTCTAAATGTAAAATTATATATGGATGGCAGTGCCAAAAATAATGCAAATAAGAATGTTATTATACAGCTATACATAATCATCCTTGCATGACTTTCAACATTAAAATTTAATGTTACATTGTAAAATGCATACTTGAATTTAATATTACTGCAGTTGGAAATTATATATTCCTGAGTGTTGGTATGCAGTTTTTCATCATATCATGGTCATGTTAGGGTAGGCATCAATGTAATGTAACTTAAGTACAAGGAGAACGAAGTTGAGTCAAAACGTATTGATTATTACAGATTATTATAGATTCACTACGAGGTTGGTTGAATTGACTGACCTAATAACAATTTTGTACTCAAGCATTTCACAGTGTAACATTAAATTGTTTTTATTACTTGTTTTAGTTACTTCCGAAACATACTTACCTCTCTCATACTACAGCTATTACTCGATTCCCAGGATTTCTTCCTTTACCCATCTAACCTTTGATCTGATTTCTTCATCAATCAATCAATATCTTGGCACTCGCGGAATTAAGGATTGTTCTTTAAGTTCTCTGGCATAGTGTGACCATTTGTTTTAGCACATGGTTAGAGGATTAACAGGCATAGCATGTTATGTGCAGTGAGCATGACTAATGCAGAACCTCAAGACATCTAGGAAAGGTGTGAGTATCACAAGCTGAAGACAGGAAGGAGACGTTTGAAGACTGGTACTTCTTGAATGATGAAAAGGACCAACGCTGTGGCAAAGGTGACAAGTTTCTGAGTAATGAATGAACTATAAAGTTAAAGTGGTATAATTAAAAGTTCCACAAAATCAGGATATATTTCCAGGGTTTTGTTACGAGGCTTGATATCATTAAAGACTTTACAGTAGTTTAAATTAGTAAGTGCAAGTGAAAAATAAAAGATGTTGTAATTACGCAGAATGGAATCTTTCCAAGGTTGAGATAAAAGGATCCTACAAGGAAAATTTTACTAGGGGGAGGGATATACTAATATATGGTGGATAGTCTGGAGATTTGGGTGGAAAAACAGTAGAAGGTTGAGGGCATCGTCTTCGTTTTTCTGCTCTATAGTGGAGAAAGAAGTAGAAAAAGCCATGTGTGAGAATATTTTCATCTGTGCATTTCTTCTTCCTTGCTCCTGCTAAATGAACTTTGGCAATATTTGTCTCATGCCACTCCACCTACGTCAATATGCTCTCTATCCTTGTACTGTATAAAAGCACCTCAATCAGATAATGTTACCACTTTTTCACGATAAAGCATTCACTAACGAGCTTCGATTGTCAGCTTATACATTCTTCCCTGTTGTTGTTGGCATCTCGACTTTCATTGGCTCCTGCAGGAGTCATAGTTTTGCTCCTATTTGAGGGTCCAGACATCAATCCCTCGGTATATTGGTACCCATAATATAATTTGTCTATATCAAAGGGTTTTGCTGCTTGGTCGGGATGCTTCCAGCAGTATCAATGATTATTTTATGCCTTCGAAGTTTGTGAGGGCTTGTCATCAAGAATTTTTGTATATGTGATAACCTTAACCATGGATCTATGGGCACTCCAGTTCTCTCTGGCTTCCTCAAGTCACTTTGTCCCAATCGACCATTCCAGTTCTTCTTCCATAAGACACTACTATCAG